TTCCTGTAGCTAAAATATACTATATATAGATGTTAATTTACTGAAATAAAGTGTGTGTAACAGTTACATTCTTCTTTGGCTATTAACCATTGGATGCAAAACGATTCTGAAAGGAATAACCTCACACAGGAAAAGATGCTGGAAATAAGTACCAAACGGGATAGCACAAAAAAAACAAAAAACCAAACAAAACAACAAAGAAAATGAAAAGTATAAGAGAATACCCGGCGACAACGGAAAAAGTATTTACCAAAAACAAAAATTAAAAAAAATAAAAGTTAAAAAAAATGCGGAGGAGGTGAAGTCACTGTTGTGCTTCCAAGATGAGAAGGAATTGTGTGCAGTTGAGACGTGGCGTAATGATGATGGCCATATTGGATGAAGCGGTGATGTGAAGAGGTGAAAGTTGTTGGAGAACGGCGCTTGTCGACGGTGATGTGCGTAAGAAGGTAGCGGTGTGTAGATGTAGTGTAAAGGTTGGATGTTGAGAGATGTTTAATCATGGTATTGTGGTGAATGGATATTTGAGGTGAGTGGTGGGAGATCGTGGAGAAGATGACCGGGGATGGATGTGTGATGAAATCGGCAGTTGTGGTGATGGTAGGTAATGTGAAAAGTTAATATCCATGAGTGGTTGGAGACGAGAAGCAGGCGATGAACACCGAAGGAAGAACTTCTACTGGACAAGTCGAGTTGCCCAATACAACTTTCATGGAGAAAATTATTCAAGAAAATCTATTTTCTCTGGTCAAGTCGATAGGACAGGTCGACTTGCCCGATGGATGTTTTTGTAAAATTGTTATTCATCGATGTGAGCCTCCATTGGACAGGTCGACTTCTCCAGCTGAACGAGGGAGGGGAGTCCTTGAGCGTGTAGGTGAACAGGATAAGTCGACCTGCCTAATGGAGACTCACATCGATGAATAATTTTAGAAAAACATCCATCGGGCAGGTCGACCTGTCCTATCGACTTGACCAGAGAAAATAGATTTTCTTGAATAATTGCTCCATGAAAGTTGTATTGGACAACTCGACTTATCCTGAGCGGCATTCGTTTGGAGAAAAATAACCTAACAGAGTCGTCTTGTCTCGAACGGTGAATAAACTAAACTCACCAAATACACATTCGACGAGTCCAATGATTCAACCAAAAAAACTCTTTTAATTTCATCAAACGAAACACATTTTAAATCCACTAGCATGGCAGCTTTGCCAGATGGCGTCAAGGATTTTCGTATGACAGTTGAATCAGGCGATAGGATGGTGTCAGTTGTAGTTGTGGCTGCTGATGGCAATGACAACGAATGATCGACTGTTGAATTTGTTGGTAAATGTACTAAACTAGGATGCTCGTCATTAACAGGAAAGGAAACTGATTGGAGAAATGATGGTGTAGATGCTCGGCTATTCGATGGTTCGTTTGATGATGTAGATGATGCAGTTTCAATATGTTGTTTTAACTTATCCAGAATACTTTGAGGATCATAAGAGTGCGCTAGTGTTGATAACAGTGGGTTGACCCGTGGGTTCTTGAAGACAAATAAAAACAGGACTGAGCAACTGACCAGCAGCACTAATGATTGGCATAACTGTATAGGAATGGCTTATAGCATTCAAAGATTTTACTGATAAATAAGTCACTTTCTCTCCTGCATATGATAGTGTACGGTTCGAAGCTATTTCGTAATTAAAACTGGATTGATCGGCATTTATGATCCAGCATTTGGCAAAGATAATAAACGTCGTCTGACCGGTGAACATGAAACCGCATCGTACAAGGAATTTTCATCGGATACAGCTTCACGTGCAGTTAGTATACGTATACCGCGACAAGTAGCTGATAATCAATGTGGATATTTCGAAGATCGTCGTCCAGCTGCAAATTGTGATCCATATCAAGTTACAAATATTCTAGTTAAAACTGTTTGTTTAAATGAAACAGGCGATGATGACGATGGTAAAGGTAACAAACACGGAAAAAAATAATTTAGAAAAACACTTTTATTATCTATTTAAGTATTTATTTCTGTAGTGTATTCGGTTGAATAAAAACCAGTCGTATGACGATTTTACAAAGTTTTAAAAAAGCTAGAAAAGTATAAAGCAGCAATGAAAAGTTCAAAATACCTTGACAAAATCTCGTTTTTTTTGTTAGATACGTTTCGCTATCGGATTTTGAAACGTCTAGAAAACCTTTTAAGGGGGGTCCGCCCCCCCATATATGTACCTTCAAATTTTGTCAGTTTAGAGAGGGCACCTGACTACATATATCATCAAGTTCTTTCGATGAACTGATAAGTATTCGCAGACTTACTAATTAATTAAGTTTAAATTTTAATTAGAATTTGGGTAGCTAGTTCCCATTTTGCAAAGCTTGTAGCTCGGTTAAAAATAATCGTAGAAATATTATTCCCGCATTGTTTGATAGCCAATGATCTATTGTGATACTTTCATGGGGAAAAAATTTAAAAAAGCTTTTTTAAGACACTGATTTGTAATTATTTAAAGCTAATTAGCACCACTCTGGTACATTGCATCTTTATTTGCAAGCGAACAGTTTATTGTAAGCCATTAAGTAGTACATGATTCGATAGCTCTTTCCAAGCGCTACAAAACCCTATATTTGTTTTTGCAAAAAGTTGTTCATAACAGGCCTTTGGAACCCTTTTTTAAGAGTAGCGGGTTTGTCAAGTGCTTATGTGAATTACTGTTAATTATTATCGACGCCAAAAAACAGCTTCCCGGGCTAGATTTTGAATAACTTTTGCTAGAAAAGAGTTAGAGAGCTCGGTTTTCGCCATTCAAAAGAGGAGACTTGAAGACATGTTTTCATAACCAACATTGTTTTCAGCAGAGATTTCTGAACCAGCTTTTCTAGGAGATCTTTGGAAAACTAGGCCGTCTGTAAAACATTTCCAGTAGGATTGCATTGCTTTTTCCTCATGAGATGATAGCTCGAGGTGTCCTCTTCAAAGTAGGAGTAAAGACAGATCTCGATTTTCCGCAGTTCGAGCGTTCTATCGGATTTCCTACGAGTCCCAGGGCTGGCACCCGGTGATTATTGGTAGCCCTAAAGACGGATGCGCTATGGGTAATCGACCATGCTGAGTTTCGTGACAATATTTATTTTTAGAAAAAATTTTAGAAATCTAGCGCAAAGTCAGTTTTATGAACTAGTTTTATAAACTCTTGTAATGATTCATTACGATACAACATAATCGATTACCCTGTATTGTAGCTTCAACTTTTACTTTGTTAAAAACGGTTTTTCTTACCGAACAGAAATAAACGAAAATAAAAATAATGGAATTATTTTTTCTAGTGGATTTTTTTCTGGCTAATAAAAATTTATAGACCCGGACGAAATAAATAAAATACGAATAGTTTTTCCATGTTGATTAACAATATCTCCATTGAAATGTTTATTGATGATTTTGGACAGGGATGCAAAAGTATCCCTGTCCATGAAAAGTTCTGTTTTGCTTGATGTTTGTGTAGAGAGTATTGAAGGTGTGCGTAGCTCGAAGTTTCCCAAAATTTTATTTTTATTCTATTCATACATGGCTGTATAGAGCGGAAGCCAAGGATCTCGGATCACATCTTCCGAGCCTTTTTAGTGCACGTCTTCCTGGGAAAAAATTCAAAATGTTGAGAGGGTCTCTTTTTTATAAAAAGCTCCCGTTTTTAGAAAAATATCAGTATCTCAGCTCCTGAGCATCGTGGACGGTCGCGGCGGTGTTATTCGGAATCAGCATGAAAGACTGATTATAGACCACTACCTTTCAAAGTTTTAACTCAAAATCTGACGGCACGTGATGCATGTTCGACAGCCTCTTTATACCGGTGAAGACCTTTCAAGACCATTGCCACGTTGTAATGGCTCACAGCAAATGATGGATGTTTGATGAGGCCTTTAAGAAAGGTCAACACCGGTCGTAGTAGATCTCTATATTACTCACCCTCTGAGTGCAAAATTGCAACGTTGTTTAAATACTTCGAAGAAAGAAATACTTTGATAAATAGCTGTGAAAACAGCTGTTGTAAGTGAAAATTGCGTCAAAAAGCACGTACATACGCGTTAAAACGCTTAGAAAAGGAATGTACACTTGGTCTGCTATTTTTTAACAAATAGCAGTGAAGATATGATTTTGATGCTTTTCAATTCAGTTTTTCATCGTCTATCTAGCAGTGGTCAAATGACGTGGTCATCTAGTATTTAAGTCCAGAGAAATAAGTAAATTACTAATTGTATCAAAGACTATTGAATTGTTCCGGAGAAATCTCGGTTTTTCATGTAAAATTTGTAACGCATTTCCCTCCTTGGGCCAAAACCTCGGCGCGGAAGTCCAATATTTTCCGGTTTTCAGAAAACCTAAGCATTTCAAAATCCGACAACAATCCGAATTATACCAGCAGATAGAGCGCTATTTTCTCTACAAAATGAGGTATTTTTGAAGCTTCCAAATTGAGAAATGACTTAGTTACAAGCAGTTAAAACTGCAATAGAAAAATTCTGAATTCTAAGTAACTCACAATGTTTTTTTGTGTCTATGGCATCTCATCGCGTTTTCCGTGGCATTTGCTACCAAAGAAGACTAAAAGCCCCGTGGCTCGTTTGGTAGAGAAAAGAACGCTCTATCCGTGTGGTATAATTCATTGGTGTTTGAAATCCTTAGGCTTTCTAGAAAACTGGAAAATATCGGATTTCCGCCCAACTGCGCGCCGCGGTTTAAAAAGCTTTAAATGTGGTATTCTTATTCAGAATTGAATTCTCTTTCGAATGAGGCAGGTCTCCACGTTTGCACTACACCTTCACGTGAAGTCTGGTACAGTACCAATGGACATATCTTAATGTATCATTGGTTTTTCCCCAATATATACTAGGAATAAGTAATCAATGATGTTGATTTCGAATATCAGATTCATTTTGCCAGAACGGCTTGGATGACCGGATTCTTTAGGTGAAGATGATTTTTGAGCAGGTTTCTTCAACAAAATTAGTTTCATTAAAATTTATTTCTCATATGTCCGATTTGAGAAGCATATCAGGTTATCTCTGTAAAATAATTTTTATCGCTATCGTACACGATCTGAAAATGCTACAAAATTTTCAAAGTTTAGCAACTCTTCCCTCAACTTCACTCAGCGAGAAAATTTCTAAAGTTATATAGACCAGTTAGATCTTGTCCGATAGTGATGAAATCTTTTCTCTAAGTCGAAACAATTCGACGAACTCAACAAACTGGTTAACTCAAAAATGAATTTTATAGGAAAATATTCTTGCAAGAAAAACCTAGTTTCTCTAGAAAACCGAGTTTGTGAAATCATATGGTTCCTTCTATCTCTATAGGTTTTTAGTCAAAAAGCGATCGGACAGTACAAGAACTCTCTCATCAGTGACAACTATTTTTTTGGAATCGTACAAGGACTATGCAATCGAGTTATATTATGTACTTACGTTGAGTTGTTATATAATATTTTCCTGTTGAATAGAGTTTATAATTTGGTTTACACGAATATATTACCGTATCTTGCTTTTTTATATGTATATATCACAGGTATAAATCGAATATTATAATTTAAACATCTTTCATCGGAAGATTAATAATACTGATACGAATGCTTTCTTATTATATCTGTAAACCCTTCGCTGTTAACAACAGATACAATTTTGATACACTACATTTTATTGGTTCTATTTGTTTCCCGATGATTAATGTTTTGCTTAATCCTTTATTTCTGGTTTGCAGCTATGTAAAATTAGCTTCAAACTCATATACTTTTTTCAGAATCGACAAAAAGTGTTTCTGATTAGTAGCTGCAACTGCGCTGAAAAATTTGCTTTTTGACTCTATGTGTCGTCATCTTGCTATGTGGTTCGACGAATTTCTATCCATGTTTTCGGCTACGGACATGAACGGATAAAGGTTAATCGTATAGAAAATATAAAGAAAGACAATTTCGCTATAATTTACTTTTTCAAAGTTTCTCTACGTGTTTTACTTCGAGATTCATGCTCTCTATTTCTCTATTAGAAAATAAAGCACAAATCGACTCCACATTCACTACAGTTAGTGGTTCACTAGAATGTTAAGAAAATGGTACGGTATGTCTAGCGAGCACCTTCTCAATTCGATTCGACTCATGAACATCTTTTGCTTTGGTTTTTCTAACATTCACATGTACTCTGCCAATTCAAACGTAGTATACCCACTACTTTTACATGTGTTACAGTTGAAATTAAAATCCAGTAGAGGCTAAAATTTGAATCTCTACTAGTGGAACCGATAATGGGCGATAGCTGCCGATATGGATCAATACCGGTATGATTTAATCTCGATATTAACTAATATTGATACATCAATAAGTATGCATGACTAATCATACAACTATTAATAGAGTATTATCGCAACAAAAACAACAAACCATTTTATTTCCTTCTAAAACAATAAACGAAAGTGATCATCCATTAAGAAACAAATGAAAATGAGCATTATTAATAATTAAAAAAAATCATTACATGAGCATTGTCCATTTTTAAATTTATGAAATCGATTAGAATCTCGAACATTTATTTCACGTTGACGAATTTTAGATATAAGTTTTGTCGCTTCATGACAATCTGGACATACTCTTAGGTTTTTAGTTATAAATAATGGCTCGTTTTCTTTAGTTGATATAAGTCCATAAGCTATCGCCAGTTTTTCACTATGGCCCATTATAACAGATAATGAAGTTTCTCCATGCTCTGTTTTAACACGACGAGTTATTGAGTTATAATCAAATGTATGCCCATAATCAATTAACTCTTGTTGTAATTTATCTAATTCATTATAGATTTCATTCGATTTTGGATGAGATTTATCATGTGCATAAAATGAGTGATTAACACCATCTATTTCTATGTATGTCATGCCTGGGATCTTTTTTAAATTTTCATCAGCCATTTTCTGTCGAATCGATTCAACTTTATCGTATTTCCCTACTGACGCATATGTATTTGATAATAAAACACTAACAGATGCACGACGGTTGTTACTGATATTTTTCATTTCATTTATTTTATCATAAATTTCTTTTGCTTTTGTCTCCTCTTTGTATATTCGACATGCACCAAGTAATGTGGTCCACATAACACTATTACGTTCATTCGTTTTTTCATAATTTTCTATAACTGACTGTGCTTCATCCCAGTGCTGAGAACGAGCTAAAGCATCAACCTAAAACAAAAGTCTTACAGAATGAGCACAACTAAATAGAGAAAACTAATAGATTCAGTCTTCACATAAAATAGCGCTTTCTTTGGCAATAAATTTTTCGTAACCTATATGTCGAACAAGCGTAGATCTACAACTTATCGTGGTACCTTAATTTTCGATTGTAGATCGCCAATTAGACTCCCGGTTGAAATTTAGATCTGATATTATAATAGTCCCATGTGATAGCTAAAAACGCTGTTGTATTTGAATGATAAGCGGTAAGTCAAAACTTTATAGAAGCCACCGAGATCAGAGCCCTGCAGGTTGCCAATATTTGCCAATCTATAACCTAACCTATAAAAAATTTTACAACCTAATCCTAACCTAACCATTGAAAACAAAAATAGAACAACCTATAGCCTAACCTAGCCTATAACTTTTGCAACCTAATCCTAACCTAATCTATAGCTTTTGCAACCTTAGGTTAGGTTAGGATCAACCTGCAGGGGTCTGACCGAGATCTATAGAGTAATGCAACACATGCTTTTACTGATGTCCAGAAGTAGGAGAACATAAACAGTGACGCTGAAAATGTATCACCGCGTTACGTCCTGACAAGTAGTTCTCTGATACTATAGCAGGAAACGAAAAGGTACATGCGTTCGTCACGAAAACAATGGTTTTCCAGATAGTTCTGCTAGAAAAAACGATTTTCTTTTAAGACATATTTTTAGTTCAAGTTTAACTTAGAAGATTGTATCAAACAAAACATCAAAAGTTCAGCCGATGTAGCAGCATCTAGGAAATTAAATAATCAATTTTACGAAATTCGAACTCATCGATCCTCCAACTGCTGATTATGACCTATACTCTACATGTCATGTTTAGATCACGACGGACGAAAGAACAGAAACGATAAACATGACACCAATAGATATGATTAAACTAGAACACTGTGTTTTAGATAGGGTAAGTCTTTCGGTATCCTACCATCATTACATGAAGGTGTGGTGCAAACGTGAAGACCTACCTCATTCGAAAGGAAATTCAATTTTGAATAAGAATATCACATTTGAAAATTTCCTGAATCTTGACGTGGTGTCTAACGGAAGTCCGACATTTTTCGGTTTTCAGAAAACCTAAGCATTTCAAAGCATTTCAATTGTTATCAAAGAAGACCGGAAGCCCCAAAATACCTTGTTTTGTAGAGAAAATAACGCTCTATCCGGTGGTATAAGTCATCGGTGTTTGAAATCCCTAGGCTTTCTAACATGATTATTTTAAGTATGAAATCAATGAACCAGTACTTTTCATGATAGATACGTGAGCCGTTAATCACCAATACTAATGATAACAACA